AATTAGGGAAATACTTATGACCCCAGGCATACCTTATGTCATATACCATATACATAGCAGTAAATATAATTTTGTTACATTATTCTTAAAAAACAAATGATAATCTCTAACACACATCTTTCTAATTTTATATAAACTATATGGAATCAAAACTCTGAATTTACCTGACTCAGGAAGATATTAATATCGCTGAATAAAAATCATTGTAGTACATGTGTAGTATTTATAATCTTTCAAGCCTGACTGACATCAGGTAAACCATTAATAATGTTATACCTTTTTTCAACAGAAGAAACTTTGTTATACTTTGTATGTTAAGGCCGGGCTTGGTGGCTCAGGCCTGTAGTCCCAGCGCTGTGGGAGGCCGAGGCGGGTGGATCACCTGTGCTCAGAGGTTCGAGACCAGCATGAGCCAGAAGGAGAGCCAGAGTGAGACCCCGTCTCAACCAAAATTGCCGGGCGTTCTGGCAGGCGCCTGTAATCCCAGCTACGTGGGAGGCTGAAGCCATTAAACCCAGGGACCCAGGGGTTGGCAGAGGTTGCTGTGAGCTATGTACCCTACTGAAGAACACAAAGCAAAACTCTGTCTCCTCCATTAAAAAAAAATAAAATAAAATAAAAATAAAAGTAAAAAAATCCTTAGCGCTACATCTTAGACAAACAATAAATGTGGTTGATGGGGCTGGCGCCCTACTCCTTGAGCAACAGGCACTGCCCAGAACTTTAATTTTTATTTGTTTTAAATATTTGTGGTTTGATTAAAACTGAACACATCAGCCAGGCATGATGGATTATGCCTGTAGTCCCAGCACTTTGGGAGGCCAAGGCAAGTAGATTGCCTAAGCTTAGGAGTTTGAGACCAGCCTAAGCAAGAGCAAGACCCTGTCTGTATAAAATAGCTGGGCATTGTGGTGGGCACCTGTAGTCCCAGCTAATTGAGAGGCTGAGGCAAGAGAATCACTTGAGCCCAAGAATTTGAGGTGGTTGCAAGCTGTGATGCAACAGCACTCTACCAAGGGCAACAAAGTGAGACTCTGTCTCAAAAAAATACATACATAAATAAATAAAACTGAACACATCAAGAACTGAGAAAAACCTTTAACTTTGAACCTAACCCTGTTAATTACTAGATGCTATATTTCTTTCTTTTTTTTAATTTCTAAATATTGGGTACACATGATTTGTTTATGTATTTTTTTTGTACATATTGAGTTAAAGTTATAAGGGTGCCCTTCACCCAAATAGTGTGCACTATATCCAATCGGTATGAATTTATCCATCCCCTCCTTTTTCCTCCCCCAGCTTGATTTCCATTGAGATTTACTCCCATATGTCCCCTTAAATGTTGATCGATTAGCTCCATCTTGGTATTGAGTGCGTATATGTATGTTTCTCTATTCTTGTGATGCTTAGAAGAATGGTTTCTAATTCCATCCAGGTTGTCACAAAAGATGCTAGATCACCAATTTTTTATAGCTCCATGTAGTACTCCATGGTATGCATATATCACATTTTATTAATCCATTTATGTGTTATTGGGCACTTGGGTTGTTTCCACATCTTTGCAATTATGAATTTTGCTGCTGTAAACACTTAAGTGTAGGTGTCCCTTTTATAAAATGACCGTTTTTCCTTTGGGTATATACCCAGCAGTGAATTGCTAGATCAGATTACTTTAAGTTGTTTGAGTTATCTCCATGCAGTTTTCAATAGAGGTTGTACTAGTTTGCAGTCCCACCAAGAGTGTGTAAGAGTTTCTTTCCACATCCACTCCAGCATCTGTTATTTTAGGACTTTTTAATACTAGCCATTCTCATGAACTTAGGTGATATCTCATAGCATAGAAGGGCTGTATTTTAATTTTCTTTATTCATACCCTAGACCAGGGGTCCTCAAACTTTTTAAACAGGGGGCCAGTTCACTGTCCCTCAGACCGTTGGAGGGCCGGACTGCGGGCCCCAGGAGGAGTCGGCTGCTAAGCAGGACAGGCGGCGGTGGCAAAAACGGCAAAAACACCTGGCGGGCAGGATAAATGTCCTAGGTGGGCCGCCTGTGGCCCGCAGGCAGTAGTTTAAGGATGCCTCCCCTAGACTCTTAAATGCCTTCCAGACTGTATATTATCTTAAGTCCTTCAATATGAAAATATTCACTATTAAATTAAAGTGGTTATTAGGTTTCTCAATTCTAAAAATCATTAAATACCATCATAGATATATAGTTTATAGAAGATGGTCGCACAAAATTTGTCTATCTTTGAAGTTTTTGTCTTGTTTCATTTTTATGAGTACTATACATTACTTATACATTTTTCTGGCTCATTATCAAAAAATATTGCTCATTTTTTCATGTAACTGTGATTATAATTGTTCAGAAACTTTCACTTAATCTGTCAACCACATTTCTTTCCCAATAGCTCTTATTTTGGCCTTAAAAACTCTTCAGGAAAAGATTCATCGTTTAGAGCTAGAGAGAACACAAGCTGAAGATAATCTGAACACACTTTCCAAAGAGGCAGCACAGTACAAAAAGGCCTTAGAGAATGAAACAATTGAAAGAAATTTGGCACATGAGGAACTGATAAAGCAGAAAAAAGGTATGAAATATAATAGTTCTCAGAAATGAGGGGTTACCAGAATTCACAGTCTAAAAACGATAAACCTAGTTCAAGTAGATTTACTCAAATATCTTTGTTCTTATATACCTTGAAACCTTGTTCTCAAGACATTTTGATATTTGTGGGGACAGGATGTGGCTTATATATGTTATCCCAGTTCATAGATTCATGAAATTAAAAGACAAATTGTTTTTAGACAAGTTGTATTTAGAAATTAGAATATTTTTAGACCTAAGCAACAAAATCTAATTTAACCCATAATATAATTGAAATGCTTTGTTTTCAGCTAACAATATATTTTAAAATTTGAAATATAAAGCAATACTAATATTAGACAATACACAAAACAATTGAATGAAAAAATTTAATTTTAGAAGAAAATAAGTTTTGTTTTTGTTTTTTTGAGACACAGTCTCACTACATTGCCCTCAGTAGACCATGGTGTCACAGCTCACAACAACCTCAAACTCTTGGGCTTAAGCAATTCTCTTGCCTCAGCCTCCCAAATAGCTGGGACTACAGGT